GTTATTACAGATAAGTGCTGGATTTGTAGTGAATGTGACACCAAAAAGTTTTGTAAGCAAGTTACAGACTCTTAACTATGAAAACAGAGATCGCATTTAACAAACTTCTTTTTACATAATATATACCGTGGTATCAGCACGACTAAATACATAATTGTTTAAAACTTCTAGAACATCTTATCAAATGATAAATTAAGGGCATTAATTGAGTCTAATTTGAACAATTTGTTTTGTGTCTTTCTAGATATTTAACACTCAGCATGCGCTTTTTATTTTACTGAAATGGCATGAATACTTACACAAATGAGATATTATTGGTTTTATACAAAGCCGGCACGATGGAAAGGGAGGGTTCATTAAGTCGGCAAATTAACTTCCTAAGGCGACATTGTGTTTCCTAACAATTCTAAATTTTTCTGCAACTAATTTTATTATATCAAAAGTTGCATATTTTGCTATTCTTGCATTTACATTTCTTTTATGTTGATTACTATTGTATTTGTGCTTGATTCGACGTCTTTGATAATTAGTTCAGTTTTAACATTATCCTCATTTAATAGTTTTAACAATATATATGCCACTGCATTACTAGATTCGAAAAATTTCAAAAATTTTTTAAACCGCAGTCATTAAAACGTTTTAAAATATTCACAAAATACGACGTCGTTTGGTTGCAAAAATTCATTTTGCCGCAAAATATTTTATTGGAGTATAAATCTCAAAAAGGGCCATCCATAAAAAAAGTCATCCAAATAAGGGGGGGAGGGGGGAGGGGAGGGGATCAAGCTAAAAAGGGCAAATGGAGGGGGGGGGGGGGGTTGTCAGAAAAGGACGTCACTTTATAGGTATTTTATTTTAGTTTTATTAACATAGAGAACTACGTAAACATGTGTTTTTGAGAAGATAATGTATGAGAATATTTTTAATTTTATTTTTCAAAGGTGTAGCAGCAGATTCAAACATCATTGCAAGATGAAATAAATTTTTTTGAAGTTAAAAATAGGGAGGGGGTCAGGATTTTATGACGTCCTTTTTCAGAGGGGTATAGGGAAAAAGGACAACCGGTGACAAATGAAGGGGGTAGATGGTCAAAAATTGGCTAAAAAATGGTGACGTCCTTTATGGATGGTACCAAATGGGAGTAAAAATTTCATATGAGAATTATACTGGAGAGTACAAATTTTATATGCGATTTTTACTGGGGAGTAAAAAATACGTGGGTGTAAAAAACTTATACTACACCAGCACTCGTTCTATGCTTAGTTTGTTTTTTTTTTAAATTACCATAGTAATTCTTTACAATAAAATATGTATAAAAGATTAATAGAAGGACTTCTAAAAGATCATATAGATCGTATCACGATCTGTCATAATCTGTCATTTTCATAAGATAAAAACAAGTTTGTGTCATCAGCAAAAATTATTGATGTTAAGTTTGAGGTTTTATTAAGATCATTAATATATATTAAAAAGAGAAGTGGTCCAAGTTTGGATCCTTGCGGAACACCACATGTAGTATTCATTGCGGAACACCACATGTAGTATTCATTGCGGAACACCACATGTAGTATTCATTGCGGAACACCACATGTAGTATTCATTGCGGAACACCACATGTAGTATTCATTGCGGAACACAACATATAGTATTCATTGCGAAACACCACATGTAGTATTCATTGCGGAACACCACATGTAGTATTCATTGCGAAACACCACATGTAGTATTCATTGCGGAACACCACATGTAGTATTCATTGCGGAACACCACATGTAGTATTCATTAAAATCTGAGAATCAGAGTTTTCATTGTAAACATATTGGTTGTGATTTGTTAAATAGATTTTGAACCAGTTTAGTGTTTTATCTATTATACCATAAGTTACTAGTTTATTTAACGAGATGTCATGATCAACAGTGTCAAAAGCCTTGGACAGGTTTATAAAGACTCCTAATGTAAACATTTACAAGAGTAGACACTGTTTATCGTCCGAGCATAATATGATCGTAAATCCCAAAATATTTTAACTACTCATAAAAGTTAAAACCATTATCAGTTAAAAATTAACAATTAAATCTACCGATTTTTAATGGTTGGTAAAAACAACGTTTTTGCTTCGAATTAACTTAGGCTGCTAAAGGTGACCATTTGCAAGGATTTAGAGTTTGGTTATTACATTAAAGCTCTATGCGAAAAAGTTAATACTAAGTACTTTGCTTTTTCTCAAATAAGGAAATCTTATAAACAAGCTATTTTATTATTTAACACATAAATTAACCTCTAAGTTTCAATACTGTGCTTTGATTAGGATGTTTTGCCAAAAATACAATGATTGACTCATTAATAAAGTTCATAAAAAAGCACTTCACATAGTCCATAAAAAGTTTTATTTGCAAAAATAAAATTTTTATTAAATAAGATAATATTAAATTAAATTTAAAAAATTAAAATAAATTAAAGAAGGAAAATGTTAAAAAAAGAACCAAGAACCAGTAGCGTAGCGACAAAAAATTGACCCCCCCTTCCCCGCAAAAATTTAATCCGGGCTTCTAAATTACTACTTTTCTATTCCCTTCCCCCCCCCCCCCACATTGCCTTTACCTTCCTGTGTAAAATATATGTTTTGTATGTATGTTAAATGATACGGATGTTGTCAGCCTCCCCGCGGCTTTTAAATGTTATCCTATTAATGATAAAACAAAAAGCTAATACAATTGTAAATTTATTATTTCACAAAAGTTCAAAACAAAAAAAAAATTCCAAATATTAACAGTATATTACAATCAAAAAGCACAATAAATCTTCATCAATCACTTCAATTCAAAATATGTGAAGCCAGAAATAATCTGGAATCATATGGCAGAATCTTTGCTCATCAATCATTTTTTTGAATTTTTTAATCATCGATTTTTTTTTTTTTTGAATTTTTTTCAAAATTTTTGAATCATCAATCAATTCATGATTTTCAGATGATTTTAAACACTGTTTAAAATTAAAAACAATCGATAAATGATTTTCTTTATATATATATATATATATATATATATATATATATATATATATATATATATATATATATATATATATATATATATATATATATATATATATATATATATATATATATATATATATATATATATATATATATATATATATACACACATACTTAACAGAAACAATAATACAATTACAATATAGTTATATATGTGTTTTATAAGTTATTAGTCTATTAGGCTATATATACTATTTGGTAGTCATTGTACCACTACCAGTACAATAACTACCAGTCATTGTACATTATATAAACATTTATAATATTAGTCATATAAACCAAACATCCAGCACGCAAGAACAAAACTTTTCAAATTGTAAAGTTTTATTTAATGTAATGCATGACATAATTACACACACAAACACATGCACACACACACATATTTATATATATATATATATATATATATATATATATATATATATATATATATATATATATATATATATATATATATATATATATATATATATATATATATATATTCATATATATTGAAACAGAGATTTCAGAAAAAAAATTTCAACACCAAAATACTAATCTGCTAGTATATTTTATTGTTTTAGGGAGATATATTTTTAAAATATATAAGATCTGATAAAACAACTAATTTTATGAGATATAAACAAGCTTTTTACAATACAAACTCAAATGTAAGAATTATGTGAAGTGAAATGGTTAAAATAGCTGTCATAATCATCAGACAATAATTGAATGTTTTAAAATAGATATTTTGATTCATGATTTAATGATATGTAAGTTGTAATAATATTACAACTTACATATCACTAAACAATGAATTTTAAAACACTCAATTTTTGTCTGTTGATTATGTTACTAATATAATAACTCTACATGATTTCAACAACAATAACTTGAAAAAAATTAAATGAATTTCCAGATTTTACTAAATAGCAATGAGACTTGAGTTTTAAAACTCAAATAGGAGTTTAGTTAAAATTTACTATGTATATGAAGTACAAAAACTTTAAATAGTTACATTGTACTTTGTAAAAATGTAATAAACTTTATAATTGTTACATATAAAACTGTTTTTTGATTGTTTATAAACAGTTATATCACTTAATTTTATTGCTATTTAGTAAAATTTTATTTTAGTCTAAAATTAATAACAGCTTTAAATAGGTATGTTACATGAAATTTTTAAATTCATCAAATTATAGGTTGTTATATATCATTAAAACGAGCTTAATGTCAATATTCTAAAAGTGAAAAAATTTTCAAAATCGAACCACCCTACAAAAAGTTATGACGTTTTAAGTACCGATTTTTTAATATTAGGATTTGTTGAAGAAACTGTGGTCAAAATAAACTTTTTATTAACTAAAACTATTATAACTTAACCAATTCTTATCCAAATGTTTATATCTTGGTATCAAAAGATAGATACAAGAGTCATCTACAAATTTACAAAGATTTCTAGATTACGGGCGCATCCGGGGAGTAAGAGGGGGCACAAAACCACCATCCTTACCGGCAATAAAGATATATAAAAGATATAAAAAAATATATTTATAAAAAAGTGTTTTTTTTTAATGAAAATGTAAATTTTTTTATATGCAAGATGTTTTTGTTATTAGCTATCAGACCACAATCAAATATAGAATATTCATCATTGCCTTTGGGTGGATGTAAGGGTGATGGTTTCAAACACCCTATTATCAAAAATGACTCTTTATATAAATATTTATCTTTATAATTAAAAAGAAATCTAGTATTCAAATCAAAAATTATATTTTACTACTTTACAAAATCACTAGCAGCGCACCCCTTGTTTCAAAGGGTGTAAATGGGGGAGGGGGCGTGTTGTCCCCCCCCTTTTTTTTTTGACAACCTAAAAAGAATATATATATTTTTATTGAGATTCAAAAAAATATTTAAATTCAATTAAAATAATAAACTTTAATTTAAAAACATCTTTTACCAAAACTCAAAATACATCACACAATGCTTTGTGATAGTTATAGATGGTTCCCCCTCTGACCTAAAAAAGAATTTCAAAAACAAAAAAGGTTTATAATATTATTCTAATTAGTTTGCGTCTTGGCTTTTAGTTAATGATTAAGATATTAAATTCCATTAATGAAACTATATATTAATCATTGTTAACAATAGACATGACGTGAACGTAAGCCAGAGCCCTCTATCAAAAAAATTGCAAGTTCCACTACTCGCTATATATATTTTATGCAAAGTTCCACTACTTGCTATATTTTTTTTTGCAAGTTCCACTACTTGCTATATTTTTTTTTGCAAGTTCCACTACTTGCTATATTTTTTTATTGCAAGTTCCACTACTCGCTATATTTTTTTATTGCAAGTACCACTACTTGCTATTTTTTTTTTTTTTTGTGCAAGTTCCACTACTTGCTATAATTTTTTTTTGCAAGTTCTACTACTTGCTATATTTTTTTTTTGCAAGTTCCACTACTCGCTATAAAGTTTTTGTGCAAGTACCACTTCTCGCTGTACATTTGCATATTATTGATATTGATATTGATATATATATATATTATATATATATATATATATATATATATATATATATATATATATATATATATATATATATCAATATATATATATATATCAATATATATATATATATCAATATATATATATATATATATATCAATATATATATATATATATCAATATATATATATATATATATATATATATCAATATATATATATATATATATATATATATATATATATATATATATATATATATATATATATATATATATATATATAGAGAGAGAGAGAGAGAGAGATTGAGAAATAGAGAGTCAACCATAGTAAAATAAAGTAGCAAGATTATCAAATGCATTTCCAATAATAAAAAAATAAATGCAACATATTTACATTAGGAAAACATCAACTCACCGGATACAATGTCAGCAACTAGCTGGAATTTTTTCATATAATAATCAACTGCTTGAGTATAATTTTCTTCTCTAGTCCAATAAGAAATAGTGTATATAATGCCTTTCTGTGCTTTCTTAAGTTTTTCTACTCTGCCAATATACAAGAATATACATATCGGAATCATACCATTCATGGCAAAAATTTCTCCCAACAATTCTTTCACACATAACATCATTTAAATCATCAATTTGCTTAGTAGATAAGTTTTTAAACAAATTCAGAATTTCACTAATAGTTAATAATGTTAATTGTTGCTCTAACTTTCTTTTTTCTTTTTCATCGATTTTTTGGCGTTTTATAGTCTGTCTTTTAGAAATCTCAGCTCTAATTTCAGAATGTTGTAGTCGGGTTTTTATTCGTTTTCTACATGCTGCCTGCATAGACCACTGAACTAGCATTTTACCATAAAAAACTTACTTGAGGAACTTGATGAAGGTTTCACTAAAGAATAACAATTATTATAAACCTATTTATAAAAAAAATTAGTAATAATACAATTTTCAAGTTTTTGCTTCATATACACAAACTATATATTCAAAATTGGTCTTATACATAATTTGCATATTAAATTTTTAAAATCCAAAAACAAAATTTACTTTCAAGCGTTAACTAAATTGTCTAAAAAATCAATAAGTAACTAATAGTAAATAAATCTGAGATTGAAAAACAATAATTTATTTTTAACAAAGTATTAGACGATACAATAAAAATATATACTTATTGCATACTTATTGTATTCTCCATAGTGTCAAAAAAAACAAAAATAACCAATTGCGAACAAATAACTTAAAAAAAAAGTTTTAACTATAATAATGGTTTTTATTTTTATTTTTGTTAGTTCATTCCAGTTATATTTTATTTTCATTGTGATTTACATTGCTAGAATATAAGATTATATAAAAACATAATAAATAAAATAACAAAACAGTTTTAATATAAATAGAATTAAGAATAAAATAGATTCAATAAATGAGAATTACTAACTAAATAATTAAATAAATAATAACTAAATAACAAAATAGAATTACTAACTTAATTTTTCATATAAGCTTTCAATAGCTTGTGCATCTAAACAATCATAACAAAGGAACTATTTCAAACAATTTATATCAGTTTTATTCAAACAAAAGTTATATATATATATATATATATATATAATATATATATATATATATATATATATATATATATATATATAATAATAATAATAATAATAATAATAATAATAATAATAATAATAATAATAATAATACTATTAGTAATAGTACTAGTAGTATTATTATATCAATACTTATTGATATAGATTCTGACTTTGATACATAGAATCATACACAGAAACATAAATTTCTACCATTATGTACTTCTTACTAAATAAACAATACAATTACTCAGAAATACTGTTATTAGATTAGACAAAGATTAGAAAGTATTAAGTAGAAATTATAAAGAAACTTAGATATAATAATACTTAGCATTACTAAGTATTATTATATCTAAGTAAATAGTGATACTATTTGCATAAAAGATAACTAATAAATTAATTGGAAAATGAAAATAAAAATTTTGGTAATCTTACAATTTATCTCTTCACTCATTTTATCTAAAAAAAGTAAAATTTAGTAAAAATAAAAAATTTACAAAAAAGTTTTATTATTTTTTAAAGTTAAAGAATTCGATTTTTTTGCACCCCCCGATCGCCCGCAAAAAATTTCAGATTAAGGAAAATAGGTACCAAAAGTGGGCCCCAAAATAGACTGCTTGGGCCCCATTTTTTTTCAACGAAATTTGGCAGACAAATAAAAAATAGGTAAACTTAAATGGCTGCGAAACAATCTCAATTGCTGTCCATATCTTCGATATTTGCTGGATGTGCAAAGTTAACAAAGTTTTGCATGTCAAGAAATCAACTTATAAAGTACGTAATAGTAATCAAAGAACACAAATTCTTAAAGTATAATCATTCTAGTTTCTAAAAAATATCTATGTTAATATGAAATTATAAAAAATAAGGCGACAAAACACAGCACAACCTACCTCTCTAAATGCGAAGTTCAAAAAACGTGGCACAGAATTTTAGCACATTTATCGGTTCCGTAAAACGCGGATATCGGCGTACCTACTTTAAAAAATAATTCTATTTAAAAAAATAATAATAAAGCGATTATGCATAAACAACTAATAAATAACTATCAATTATTTAATTAGTAAAATTAAACCAAATCCTAACTGATGAATTCCACGAAACTTATTTTTTTATTAAACTATAACCAAGAGTCATCTCGGGTTAGCAGATTGTTTAGAAAATATTTTCTAACATAACGTACGGCAAACGAAAGCTAACATGTTTCGGACTAAACGGGCAAATAAACTTTACACCAATCAAAATCGGGAGTAATCTCAGGAAATAACTCATCCTGTCAATATTTGCAGTTGCCATTTTGAAAACAACAAAACTGATAAAATTATTCCGAACAACTTTGTAATTGTAATATGATTGGTTGATTGGAGATAGAACAAGATAATATTTTCAAGTTTGCTCATTAAGGAGATAAAACAATGCAATATTGCATGCAATACCGTGTTAAAAGTTTCATTTTTTTTCAATATAATTAAAGTAGAACAACACAATGCTAAAATATTCGAAAATAATAAAATCTCAATTTTTTCGAAAATTGGAGATAGCACAAGATAAATCTAACGTCGCGAAATATTAGCGACATTAAATTAATATCTTAAAACTAAAAAAAAATTATTGTTTTTATTTTTAAATTTTCATCCATACCATTATTTTTAAATTACATCTATACTATTATTTTTAAATTACATCCATACCATTATTTTTAAATTACCATTTTATTTTTAAATTACTATCCCCCCTCTTTTATACTGAAGGACTCGAGAGTAAGTAAAAGAAAGTTGATAGAATTGTGAACATAAATATTCATGCCTCCATCATTTTAAAATCTCGTATTTGATGAATTGAAACGTAGTTATTCCAATTGTAAATTTGATTTTTCGTTTTTCACCAAGAAACCATAATGTAAATTTCTTTAGAGGAGTATTTAAAATCAACAAAAAACATTTTTAAAATTTTTGAAATTTTTCTTAGGACTTCTAATATTAACATTAAAAATTAAAACTTGTTTTTATCAAATTAAAGAAGTTGTACACATTCAGAAATCGTGTAGTGTTTACTTTTTAATTTTTTTTTATTTAAATAATCAAAAAAAAAATTTCATTATCATGAACGTTCGTTTCATTATTAAAAAGTTTTGATTATAAAGTTTAGTTATGAAATTTTTTTTTTTTTAGTTTACAAAGTTATTCGTTTAAAAAAAAAATAAGCAATTAAAATTATTTTACATATTAAATTATATATACAAAGAGTGAAAAAAGTGTATACTAGGTTTCCGAAAAAAAATAACTAAGATTTTACAATCGGAACCTTAAAAATACTAATAAACAAATTAATTGACAAATACTTTGTAAAGTATACGTAACAATAAAGTAGAATATATAGAGAGAGACTTTTTTACATAAGCTTAACTATAAACAATATAAGCAACATATATAAATTTAAAAACAATTTAAGTTGTTGTAAACAATAAAATTTTAGAAAAAAATATAAAAAATCCAAAATAAAGTTAAATAGATACATAAATTAGTAGTATAGGGTTGTTCGATTTCGCTTTCTAACCAGTTTCAGAATGTAGTTTCCTTTAACTTGGAAAGTGCTCGTAAATTAAATGCATTTATATTAGATAATATTTTTATAATTATACTTTATTTTTTAAAGACAAAAAAATAAAACTTTTCAACTTTCCGGGAAGTGGAAATAGATTTCAATCACTTGTGAAGTGGAAATAGAACTCATTCACTTTTCAATTTTCAGAAAATGGAAAGTATTTAAAAAATATTCACTTTCTTTAGGTTTTTGCATTAACTTAAAATTATTATACAACTAACAATTAAAAATGACCCTACTTTTCTTTACTTTCCAATCACTTTCTATTGGAAAGTAAAAAAATTAATTTAGATTTTTTTACTTTGTAATTTATTTAATTCATCACAAATAGCTGATTATATATAGGGCTTCTCTTTGCACTCTTTAAAACTAATGTAAATTTTTTAATGAAAAGCTACTTCTTTCTTTCCTTAGAACAAAATTTACTTAACTAAAAGCAGATTTTTTTTTTTTTTTTTTTAATTATTCGTCTCCTTAAGGCCCGAGGGGGCCACTACAGTCGAGGAGACTACTTAAAAGGAGGCTATTTAAAAAAGCACAAGCAAAATTTTCCTATATAATAGATAAAGGATTTTTTTTTTCAATAATTACTTTAATTTTTATTTAGCGTCCCTTTGATATCTACCGCCCGGAACATACTGTCTCTTTTGCCACCTTTCCCCTTTCGGAGGCACTGATATGAGAGTAATGATAGAAGTATTAATAAAAGAAAAAATGTAAGATATAATATTTTGTTTAATACTGGCATCGAAGTGTTAAACTTATCAATGCAACACAACTGTAAGGCAGGCGTAAAATTATTCAAGACAAACTTAAAACAATTAACTTTTTAGTAAATGATTCAGACTCATGGTCACTAATTGATGGTTATGTGAGGTTTTATTTGAAACATGGCCCTGAGTTAAAACCACTGGAAAAAAAATCATTTGTGTTTTTTTTTCTATCTGACAATAAAAGTAGGAAATCACAATTTCAAACTGTTACAACAAGGAGTTGTTGAACAGGAAGTCAAATTGAGCCAGGCCATGTCACCACATATCTCAGATTTTGCTAATTTTTATACAGTTGAAAGTACATAAAAAAACAAAAAATCCTTAAAAATTTTAGCTTCTTGCTCCAAGAGGATCATGAAATATGTTCATTTTACTTTTAACTGATTTTGGTCAGGCCCCTCTTGTCCCCTTAGAAATGTGACCTTTGTTTAACGAAAATGAAAATTTTGGTATTTAGGTAATGTCAATAAACGTGCATTTTAAAAATAACAATGGGCCCAAGATACTAGAGGAGAAGGCTGGAGGGATGTGCCCCACTTTTTTGATCGGAGTCTTGAGATTGTTAAGTATTTTTATTATGATTTTTCTTAAAATGTTTTAAGAAAGTTAATGAAATAAGAGTTTTGATTTGCATATATAAGATTAAAAACAATCTAAAATAATGATTTTAACAGAATTTTATTTTGTATAATTTAAAATTTTAATTAAAAAAGAATAATATATTTTAATGCTAAAATGGTAACAGCAAGTTGTTTAATTAACTTCCAACAGAAAAAAAACATCACGTCATAACATTACATCAATAAAAAAGAAGTTTTTCAACTTTTATCATTATTTTATTTAATATTTACTAATTATAAAATGTTAACAGCAAGTTGTTTTATTAAATAAGAATTACCAGGGCTGTCCCGAAGAGTTCTTCTATAGGGGGAAGGGGTTTATATATTTTTTGCCAACTAGAAACACCAAATAAAAAAAAAAGGTCCTCAATATATGCAATTTGCCAACGTTAGTTCAAAACTTGCTCAATGTGCCAACTCAAATGCTTAAATGACAGCTTTTTGGGGAGGGAGGGGAGGGGGGATAGGTTTTTTTTGTTACTATTCACAGTAACAAAAAAACAGATGACAAAATTTTAACAATCTGCCTTCATCATGAAAAGATTTTTGGTACACACTTTGAAAAGAATCATACTAAATGTAGTAATTTATTGGACAAGCATATATCATAAAAGAAAAGCAATCAAAGGTAAATTTTGTTGGTAAAAAATTATTGTAAAATCTTTTTTAAATAGTGAAATTAAAATCTACTAGTTTATAAAAGTTTGAAAAAAAGTGGATCTGATTATGCATTATATATTGAAAAAAGTACAAATAATTTTCATATTCTAGGTAATTACTAAAATCAAATTGTTCTTTTCATTTCAGGGAGTCATGTTATAACATTAGACATGGCAAAACAATTGAGAACTAATTTTCCGAATGTTGTACCTGGATATCAACTTTGTCGGAGCTGCTTTGATTCTTTAATCAGTAAATTTCATGAATAAGATAATTGTGAATTTGTAGAATTTATTTCATGTGCTACTTCCGAAAAGTTACGAGAGGCATTAAATGTTAGTTTCGAAACAATAGTTGTATACCCCTATAAAACTTCATGGCATTCCAAAGCATCAACGGTTATCTGTCGCTAAAAGTAAAGTTATAAAAACAATGGCAAAGTATGAAGAGCATATTTCAAAAGTATATAATGTTAGGGAAGAAGAACATAAAATTCTTCATAAGAAAATTTTTGACAAAAGTAAATGTGATGATTTAGACAAACTAACAGCAGAAATAAAAAAAAAATTAATTGTTTCTGACCAAAAAACTAAAATTCAGTTGGTAACATTTACACCCAAGTCTTGGTCAAAAAATTTTGGTGAAAGATATTTCAACGTCACTATACACCAAATTAAAGAAGCGCGCAAACTAAAGAAAACAAGTGGGATATTTTCAGTTCCAGGCACTAAGAAAGGAAAAACATTTTCAGAAAAAACATTATATAGAGTTAACAAAAAATACCATGATGAAGAATGTAAATAGACTAGACAAATAATGTACTAGACGAATGCCTGGTAGAAAAGATTACTTAAGTGCTGGTAGAAAACAACACATCTTTATGTTTCATTTAAAACTTATTATCAACACATCTTTATCTTTCATTTAAATCTTTATGTTTCATTTAAAACTCAATATCCTCAAGAAGTTATTGGATTTTTGCAGTTTAAAACCAAAACGGTGTATAACTGTTGGAGCATCAGGCACTTATTCTGTTTGTGTATGTACTCTCCATCAAAATGCAATACTTTTGACCAATGCAATACAAATAAAATGTACTTACAAAGATGTGATAACAAAATTTGTTTGTGATGTGACAAATAGCAAGTACGTTGGTCATCGATGTTCGAACTTTCCAGGTATAGTTTCTTTAAAGAAGTTTCTGGATGCACAACTAATTGACAATGACAATGTCGAGGAGGTGTCATTCAATCAAAAAACAGATAGAACAACATTGATCCATCAGACAACAACAATTGAAGAACACAAATTGATGTTATCAGAGATA